CAAACTTTTCTTGAGTAATCATCCACTAAGGACAAGAAGTACTTACTTCCACCAAATGTGGAATGCTTCTCAGGACCCCATAGATCAGCATGAATGTAGTCCAATGGACTGCTGGTTCTATGAGAGCTAGCTTCAAAGCTAACCTTATGGGACTTACCCAAAACACATGTTTCACAGAAATTTATAGTTTCAATTTCATCATTTCCAAACAATTTCTAATTACTTAAGGATTTTAGCCCTTTAAACCCAATGTGACCCATTCTGTTATGACAAAGTTCAATTTTGTCTTTATTGACTGCAAGAAGACTCGAATCAAGTGTTGTTTCAGTTATGCCTTCTAGATAGTACAGTCAATTCCTCTTGGGTCCTTTCATAACTATCAGAGATCCCTTAAAAATTTTCAGAACGTTATTCCCGGACTTAAAAGTATATCCCTCATCTTCAAGAGTACCTAAGGAAATGAGGTTCCTCTTTAAATTAGGGACATACCTAACCTCCCTGAGTTGCCTGACAACCCCATCGTACATCCTGATGGCTATGTCACCAACTCCAACCACATTCTGAGAATTGTTATCTCCCATATAGACCTTCCTAGACTCAATCTCTCGATAGTTATAGAACCAAGACCTTTCAGGGCACATGTGAAAGGTGCACCCCGTGTCTAGGATCCAATTGTTATCAAATTCCCCCTCAGACACATTTAGGACATGTAGACTATCAAATTCAGAAACAACAGCAGCATTGTTTTGATCAGTGTTATTTAATTCTCTCTGTTTCTTCTTCCAGTCAAAACAATCTTTCTTAAAATGTCCTAACTTTCCACAGTTATAACATTTTTTACCACTTTTGTCTTTTGATTTCGATCTCATTTTAGACTTTCCCCTTCCCTTTTTGTTATGGAAGTTAAATTCTTTCTTTTCGGTTCTCCCCCTAACAAATAAGGCTTCTTCTTTTACATTTGTTCTGTTATCTCTTTTCAGTTCAAGTTCCCTCGATTTCAACGCATCTATCACAATAGCCTGCGTGAGAGTATCCCTGCCATATTTAATTACATTTCGGATTTCTTTATATGATTCGGGCAATGAATTTAACAATATGACAGCTAAATCCTCATCGTCGAACTTCTTATCATTATGAGCCAGACTTTTCACAATTATGCTAAAATCGCTCAAATTCCCCTCTAAATCCTTCCCCGGGTCCATCTTAAAACTAAACAATTTTTCTAACAGATAAATCTTGTTAGGCAAAGTCTTAGTCAAGAATAAGGCATCTAAGGCAATCCATAATGTCCTAGCATCTCTAGCATGATCAAGTTGTCTAATGATGTTATCAGATAAGTGCAAGATTATAGAACTATATGCAATTTCATTCATGTCCTCGATTTCATCAGGTTTAGCTTTTAACTCGTCAGAAAAAGTCAAAGGATCATCGAGAGCTTTAGCAACTCTCTGTTGGACCAAAATGGCCCTCATTTTCTGTTTCCAAATTGAGTAGTCCCCCTTTCCATCGAATTGCGATAATTCGACCCTCGAACCCATACTAGATTCTGTAAAAGGGTGGCTCGTACTCATGGACTAAACAGAAAAGGTTTTGAAAACAATGTTTTTTCAGATGATCAACACACAATATGAGTGCAGA